TACCGATTTTATAGTTTATAGCCGATTTTAGCTGATTTAGCAATATTATACTCTAATAAATATCAGATTCAAATTTATACAGATTCGCTGGTTAAGCAGTCTTAATGAATTATAGCGGTTTTATTGATCTGTAGCCGATTTAGTGAAAAACAGATTCATATTTTTTGATTCGGTTAAATTAGACCGCACTTGTCGCTGATCACCATAAACGGCTAAACTATAAAGTTTGTACCATATGAGATCTCTGCCAGCTCCACGACGCTCTCCTGGCACCTTCATGGCGCTGAGTGGTTTCTCAAATCACGAGATGATCGGCCAACCGCTGATTTCAATCTATTGACATGATAGCTAAGCCACCGTTATTATTTAATTAATCTCTATATTGATCAATGATCTAACACATCACTCGATATTTTTCCATAAAACGGGCTCCCATTCCCTTGAGAAACCTCTCACCAATGTAAACATGCCTTCTCCTACTGAGTGGTCTGACGCTCAGCTTCGCCTTCTTATCAATGAACGTAAACAGAGAAATGCCGAATACCATGCAACCCCAAATAAGAAGAAACAAGATTTTTGGGACGATGTCGCCAGCAAGTTAAACGAACAGGAAAATACCAACTATTTTCTGGGCAAAGACTGCCATAAGATGTTCCTAAATCTTACGAAAGCTTTTAATGTAAGTAGACCTACTTGAGTTTTGCGTGGAATTTAGGGTTAAAAAATACTACTATTGCATTAGACGGCCAAAAGATACAGAGAAGGAACTGGAACAAAGAAGAGTTTAGTTGGAGAGAAAATATATGATGAATTCTCAACGTTATTCTGGTTAAAGCCAGGTGATTACTTTTGGAGAAGACAAATGTTTCGAGAATCCGCTTAATAACATGCTTTTGATTTGCTAGAATTGCCCTTCGAGCGAGAACGTAATAAGAGTGTTAGAAGAAAAGGAACGAGCTCAACTTCAGAACCCTCAAGAATTACCACTTTCAAAGCAACGGCGGGTGAACAATCATCTTCCTCTCCAAAGTCATCAAAAACTCCAAAGTAATGCCATCATCCACTTCAGTAATACCATCAACTGACGAATCCATCTCTAGGCCAGTCACACCTACTCTCCCATCCTTCTCACAAAGTGCGAACGTCATTAATGTTACCATCAATAACAATTATGGTGGAGCAACAGATGGGCAAGAGGAATAGGATGTTTTTTTTCATTAATTTACTGTTGTCCGCTAGTATGAAACATTTATATCTGTAATATGTAAAAAAAAAATAAAATATATCAATGATTTCGGAACATTGCTGTTCCTCAACAGATGTTATATATAGCCGATCATGAGCGAAGCAAATTATCAGGGCAGATTAGCCAAACAGATTTTGTGTAATTTATGGCGCAGTGTATTTTTTCATTAGCAATGCATTATATATACAGCTTATGTAAGTAAATGCCTGAGCTATATGCGAAAGTTTATAAAATACTTTATTATTATAGACGCGAAATTATAAATACAGATAACTGATAAATGCTAAACTATCAGATATATATACGCAGTCTAGAGGAGATAAGTCACGTGAAAGTCACGGGTGGGACCTCGGGTCTCACACGTGATCAAAATGCTGTTCAATCGCCCTAATTTGTGTGGAAGTGAGCTTCGAAATAGCATTTGCACTATATGATATAACCCGCTTGATCTTATCCACTCCAATTTTTCGGAACAGCTTAAAAATCTTCACAGCCCTTTGAGTTTTTTTACGCAAAGTATCCTTAGTAAATCCGCCAGGGAGATGCTCCATTGTATCATCATACACTTGATTTCTTGCTGATTGATCACTAACCCCTCTCCTAGCATTCTTAATCTCCCCAACCCTCTCTTCATACGCCTTCCCATAGTAATACCAACACGAAATTTCTTCTTGGATTGCTTTCATAGCACGAGTCTCTGCTCTACAAGCTTTCTGAAATAGGCGGGCTAAAGTCTTTGGCATTGAAGCTTCCGAATCATCCTCAGCCACTTCATTATTCTCAATAGTTTCTCCCCTAACGGGCGTAGATAATTCTTGCAATAAGCCCTGCAAGATATTGTGCTCACGGTTATTGTTTCCAGAGGTAGCCGATTGTCTTGATGAATGCCTTGGCGAACGTCTCAATGGACGATTTTGAGCAGTATTATTATTCCCATCATTCGTAGCTGAATCCTGGGAATCATTTCCACTATTTTCATTAGGTGTATTCTCCGGATTATCTTGTACATTGGCGGAGCGGTTTGATGCATCTGGTGTCCTTTCATCATCATTATTTTCAGAAGCATCATCCTCAATCACGATTGGGCTTGTCGCCTGATCCTGCATAGTGACTTGCTTCGATTGAATCCCTTGTCCAGCACGAGAGTCATCTTCTACCAATCCTAGCGAATCCATGAGCTCCTCATCACCCTGTCCAGTGTCAGTTTGTTTTTTCTGAAGATGATATTTTCCAGAGGCGAGTACTGCTTCTTCTCT